CGGAACAAAAAGAAGAATAACTGTTGGGCTTTACAACCACAAGGGGGCCAGCAACATGTGTTCAAAGGAATGTTGATGTTGCTGCTAGAACAAACGTCTAGTCCATGACAACTGTAAAAGTCACGTTTTGACTTGTCACAACCAAAAGTCAATTAAAGATTCCATCATGCAGAGTAGCCAAGCCCTGGAACTGCTCAAGTAAAGGCCACAGTTATTATAAATGTTATTAATTACACCTGAAGTGACAAGTGAAAAGGTTTGTGCCGAATAATGGTTGTATTTTTCATATTGTTGTGGAGAACGGGTTCATAAAATGTCAATGCTTTCTTTTGTGAAACGCTGATGGGATGAGACTTTAACCAAACCAGACAGATTTGACACTGACAAAAGATACAGGATCTGAGCCAACTGGGCCGTCTGACCAGAGCCAAGAGGGGGGGGGGGGGGCGTGCAGAGCTCAACTATGACCTGGGTTGTCTGGGATGTGATGGTCCATTGAGAAACTCCAGAGGCAGCATCAGGTTTCAACTTGTGTGTTAAGACTTTCTGCTAGGGAGGTCAAATGAGTCCAACAGCTTCGAAGAAATGATTGCAGCACATGTGGGGTCAGGACACCAGAGCAAAGTCCAGCTACCCCCCCCCCACCCCCACCTATATAAATATCACCACCACAGAACAGCAACTGGTTGATCAATCTGTCTCATGCACAACCATCACACTGGCCGACTCTTCTTACCAGCCTGAAGGTCTTAAATATCCCGAACAATTCATCTGGATGACTATTCACACTCAAGAGACACTAAATGTCTTTGACTGGAGATGGGTCACATCATGGTGATAATGTCTCTCTGGGGGAGGACACTGTTTGTTAAAGGAATGTTTTACTGTAGTCCAAAAATACATTCTCAGCTCAACTTTCATTAGTCGGAGCGCGCAGCACGAAAGCTGCACGCAGCGCTCAGGGCACAGATAGTCATGTTGGCTGAAGCGGTGCAGCTGGCTGGTAAAATACTGGCCGACAGAGTGTCAACCATCGGAGGAAATCATTCACAAATGATCTCCGGATAGGACAGGAACATGCATGAGACAAATTTGGAAAGCAAGGAGCGGTGTCATGAAATATGTATGTAGACATGACAACGCATGGAGATTTTTTCTTAGCAGCCTTGGATTCTGACAGCAGAGACAAATGTCCACAGTCTGGAGACAAAGTACAGGCCGCGCTAATGATTCTGACTTATGTTTTAACACAAAGTGAGAGTACGACTAATTATTTCTCATTAATAAAACAGTAGTCTTGTCTATTAAAACGAAAAGTAAACTATTTCATTCTCAGGTTTTCTATTGTCTGGCCAATGACAAACAGAAAACAACATTTGAAAATGGGAATATTGGGCATTTGGTTCTTGATTAAACCTAAATTGATTATCAGAATTGTTGCAAATGAAGGTTTTGAACATGGTTATTTCAGCCTTTACATGAATCTAAGGTTCAGGGGTATAAACAAGCAGTTGCACCCTCCACCATTTTTATCTCAATCAACACACATCACACCCAAGCAGGTAAGTGTCCTGTCGATACACCCATTCAAAGTCGATGGCGGTCTTCGACAAGCCTGGACCCTTGGGGGGGAAAACAGACGCATCAAGGCTCAACTTCTGAATGCGATGATGAACTGCTGATGAATAAATGAACGACCTACTCGTGCTTCAATCCCCGTTTTACCCACTTGCCCTTGCTGGTAATTAATTCCCATGATTCCACACTGAGCGTCGTGACTGCTAGTGTAGTAAGATGTAAAAGGTTTTTTTTTTTTTTTTAGGCTTATACCAAACACCACCGCTCACCACTGTTTCTAAAAAAAAAGTTGTGTGTGGTGTCCTTGTTGAATCGGCACCTGGGGCGAGGAACACATGGCGACCGAGATGTCATGAGCCAGAGCCGCGAGGGATGCAAAACAGAGAGAGACAAACGCACACAGGAACACAAACGCACACTGACATCACATTTGCTCACCAGCAGCTCTTTTTAATCAGTTGCTGGGAAGTCATAATAAACACAACCCATCCAGCACTGTACACCAGGTTTCTGAAAAGCTACTTTTGGCTACTTAAGTTCAACCAACAATGAGACTTTTATTTCGTGTTTGCCTGTAAAATAAAGAAAGTGAAGTATGTGTGAAGTGCCTCGAAAAAACCGAAGTACGCTTGAAGCAGCTGTGACAAATGGCTCAAGTGCTCCCACTGATTACCAAAGAGAGGGGTTTTTTCAGCATCATCAATTATGCAGCGTCTCCTCTCCTCTGAGGTGCATTCTGGGTGGACTGGCAGATTAAAATGTTGCATTCATGCACACAGAAGAGGGAGATAGAGGGAGGTGAATTCTAAACACTGGAGATGTTTCATTCTGGCCAGACGTGTGTTAAGAGATCTGCACTTTCATAAAACATGATATACCCATAACAGCCAGTGGGGGGCATGAATAAAGAATAGAATAGAACAGAATGGTAAAATGCAGACAGGTTAATTTCAAGATGCACATAAATGCTTTTAATTTCCAAAAGGAAACCACGTTCATGCTCCAACCTTCTGAAGCAACTTAGACTTAAAACCTCATTGTTTCAAAATCATCTCTGGAAACTTACTTTTACCAAAAGCCTTTCACTTGTTCTATCCTTTTCTTTTGCCATTACATTGAAATAATGATGTATTATTCATGTTTTGTCTTGTTAGATTTGGTATTATATCGTTAGTTGCCTTTGATTTTATACTAACTTGTCTTTGAGGATTTATTTTGATTTGACATTTACTGAAGCACTTTGTAAAAGCTGTTTACAGAGCTGCTATTTATTATTAAACAGTGAAGGGAACCATCTATTTAATACTTTTACGCACAGCAGGAGAAGCAAAGAATGAATCTGACACCTTCCCTAATTCTTCCTCTTCTTCATCATCATCTCTTACCTTCAGCAGATGTGGAGATCACGCTGTCACACACCGACAGAGACACAGTTAAAGCCTGAAGTGCTGTCAAAAGAACAAACTTCAGGCTCCGGCGGCTCCGGGGCTTCATGGTGCCCGGCTGGCTGAAGCGTGGACGCGGACTGGCTTGTTCACGGTTTCACTGCAGCGCAGCCATCGCGCACCTCCCGTGCAGGCACAGTCCAACAAACAGCTGATGTGCACGAGAAGCCCCCCCACCCAAAAACACAAACCGACTTCCTGAAATATGATCGTGCTGCGTGCGCCTCTCGGAAATCCCGAGGAACAGCTGATTCCAGTCCGCGCACTTTCCCCATTCAGAGACGTCCAGGGCGCAGAGCTGCAGCGCGTGGAAAACAAAGTGTGGGAGTGGGAGTGATGGACTCAAACTGACAGACACACACACACTGGTAGACACACACTGACGGACACACACACCCTTTTACTGTCCTGATCATTCACTGGACTGACATCAATTCAATTCCAGGGCAATCACAGGACAGGAGTGTTGTCTTATGAGTTGAGACCATGTGCTTCTCAGGGACGCAGCGCGAGGTCCTAGAGCCGCCTCCGGCATCAGCAATTATTAAAGTGACAGAGTCAAGCTGCTGGGAGTACACACCATTTCTGGTTGAATATTTCAAAATAAAGCCCATAATGGTCAATTTGTATGCACTTTTGCAATCATGCTAGAGGCAAGACAACAAAGAATTGCATTAAAGAGGGGTGATACAGCTAGAATCGTATTTAGGTCAATCTTATGCATGTAAATAACTCAATCTAACTGTTATTTCCCTGTCAATGCAATGGGTTGTTCAGAAAGCTTATGCAGCATGTGGTGTTTCATATCATTTCAAATCAAACTTGTGAACACAATATGTTTTGGGCTGTTGATCTGGCGAAGAGCACTTTCACATTGATTGTACAGAACTTTTAAACGGACATTGAGTCGAGATTAATTTTGCTTGATTACATATGAACTTGTGCACAAATTATAACAGTGCAGACGTGAATTCTAAAACGTTGTGAAAGGGTTTAGAGATGTAGAGCACTTTATTTTGAAGGCAAAGCACATAGCTTCCGGCCCCTCTCTTTTATCCCTTGTCCAATTGACCCAACCAGCCTGATAAGAGTTCACTTAGCCCGCGGAGTGTATATTTGAATAATACAGCCTACACAGCCCTCACACACACACACACACACACACACACACACACACACACACACACACACACACACACACACACACA